ATAGTACACACACACACACACACACACACACACACACACACACACACACACACACACATATATATATATATATATATATATATATATATATATATAGGAAATGTCGAGGCGTACAGCCCGATCCAACATAAAAGTAAACTGTGCACTGCCAGAGGCTCGAATGGCGCGAACCATAGATGCATCTATTAACCTGCCGAGACGATCGGCCCGCTCCCATGAGAGTAGTAAAAGGTAGTACCCGCTCACGAATCATACGTGCGACGCGGTCAAATATAAGTAAAAGGACTTCCCCGCTCACGAATTATACATGCGATGGGGTCAATTATAGGTTTCTTAATTAAACTGTGCACTGGAAGAGGGTCGAATGGCGCGAACCATAGATGCATCTATTAACCTGCCGAGGCAATCGGCCCGCACCCATGAGAGTAGTAAAAGGTAGTACCCCGATCGCGAATCATACGTGCGACGCGGTCAAATATAAGTTAAAGGACTTCCCCGCTCGCGAATTATACATGCGATGGGGTCAACTATAGGTTTCTTAATTTATTTAGATATTTAGCATTTCTTTCTGAAAATACGAAGTTTAATGTAAACTCTTTAAATCTCAAATTCCTCAATTTAAATTTCTTTCAACCCAATTATTACGCAACCTTAATCTTGTTTCTTCTCAAATCAAACAATAAACATGAATTAACAACAATATCAATCAAGGCATGATGTAGGCCTAAAACTACCCGGACATAGGCATAACTAGTAGCTACGTAGGGACTCTCGTCACCTCGTGAGTACGGAGGCCCCACAAATAGGAGCACATATTTGATTAAATAACCTATGGGGTTAATTTCCTCTTACAAGGTTAGAGAGGAGACTCACCTCGCTTCGAAGCTCCATAACCGGCTTCCAAGCCCTTCCGACGACTCAAACCGATGCACAACACCCCAAAACTAGCCAATAATTATGCAAATCCATTAAGATAAGCTAGAATACTCATTATAATCTAATTTATAATAATTTCTAACCCCGATCGAAAAGTCGGTAAAAATCACCATCGGGCCCACATGCCCGGATTCCGAAATTTTTCGAAGATAACGTTTACCCATAGCCTCACGAACTTAAATATGTAATTTACTCTCAATTTCATGAACAAAATCATGGTCAAAATCCAAGAATACAAATTTCTAGGTTTTCCTTAAAATCGCTATTTCTACTATTTTCCATGTTTAAAACATATACATAATCGATGTATTTAACTCAAACTAGTATAAACCACTTACCTCATGCTTCCATATATATATATATATATATAGGAAATGTCGAGGCGATCAGCCGATCCCATGAGAGTAGTAAAAGGTAGTACCCCGCTCGCGAATTATACATGCGATGGGGTCAATTATAGGTTTCTTAATTTATTTAGATATTTAGCATTTCTTTATGAAAATACGAAGTTTAATGGAAACTCTTAAAATCTCAAACTCCTCAATTTATATTTCTTTCAACCCAATTATTACGCAACCTTAATCTTGTTTCTTCTCAAATCAAACAATAAACATGAATTAACAACAATATCAATCAAGGCACGATGTAGGCCTAAAACTACCCGGACATAGGCATAGCTAGTAGCTACGTACGGACTGCCATCACCTCGTGCGTACGTAGCCTCCCACAAATAGGAGCACATATTTGATTTAATCGCCTATGGGGTTAATTCCCTATTATAAGGTTAGAAAGGAGACTCACCTTGCTCCATAACCGGCTTCCCAGCCCTTCCGACGACTCAAACCGATGCACAACACCCCAAAACTAGCCAATAATTATACAAATCCATTAATATACGCTAGAATACTCATTATAATCCAATTTATAATAATTTCTAACCCCGATCGAAAAGTCGGTAAAAATCACCCTCAATCCACGTGCCCAGATTTAGAAATTGTAGATAAAGTTTACCCATAACTTCACGAACTCAAATATATAATTTACTCTCAATTTCATGTCCAAAATCGTGGTCAAAATCCAAGAATACAAATTTTCTAGGTTTTCCTCAAAATCCCAATTTCTACTAATTTCCATGTATAAAACATATAGATAATCGATGTATTTAACTCAAACTAGTATAAACTACTTACCTCATGCTTGATGGTGAAAATGGCACCTCAAAGTTGCTCCTAAATCGGCTCCCATGAAAGAAAATGGAGTGAAAATTAGCCAAACGCCGATTTTATAGAAACCTCATTGCCTCCAGCCCTTTCGCACCTGCGGTCACTTGACCGCTTCTACGGTTCCGCAGGTGCGGCCTCACCACCGCTTCTACGGTCTTCCACAAGTTGTTCCCTTTCCGCTTCTGCGCTCCCCTTACGTAGGTGCGGTCCTGCTTTTGCGGCGAGATCACCGCATCTGTGGTCTCTGCACTTTCAGTCCAAAATCGCATCTGCGGCCCTCATGGCTGCTTCTGCGGCTCCGCACCTGCGGCCCAACCCTCGCAGGTGCGTTTACGCCAGAAGGCAGCTGCTTTACTTCTTCTTCAAATTCTAAAATTGATCCGTTAACCATTCGGAATTCACCCGAGGCCCTCGAGACCCCGTCCAATCACACCAACCAGTCCCATAACATAACGGGGACTCGCTCGAGGCCTCAAATCACATCAAACAATGCTAAAATCACAAATCACACTCCATTACAAACTTGATGAACTTTAGAACTTCGAACTTTTTCATTCAATGCCGAAACCTATCAAATCACCTCCGATTGATCTCAAATTTTGCACACAAGTCAAATTCGACATTACGGACCTACTCTAACTTTTGAAATCGGTATCCGACCCCGATATTAAAAAGTCCACTTCCGGTTAAACTTCTCAAAAACCTTCAAATTTCTAACTTTTGCCAAATGACTCCAAAATGACCTACGGACCTCCAAATCAACTTCTGATCGCGCTTCCAATACTAGAATCACCATACAGAGCTGTTCCCCGACTCGAAACGGACATCGATCACACTGAAATGCACTTTAACCCAAACTTATAAAATTTTTCCAAAATTCCAACTTACACAATAGGCGCCAAAACGCTCTCGAGTCATCCAAAACACGATCCAGACATACGCCCAAGTCCAAAATGATCATACGAACTTCTGGAACCTTCAAATCCTGATTCCGAGGTCGTTTACTCAAAAATCCAGTCTTAGTCAATTATTCCAACTAAACGCTTTTGAAATGAGAATTTTCTTTCTAAATCAACTCCGAACTTCCCGAAATTCAATTCCGACCATGTGTACAAGTCATAATACCTGAAGCGAAGCTGCTCCTGGCCTCAAGCCGCTGAACGATGCGCCAGAGCTCGAAACAACCGGTCGGGTCGTTATATTTTTTATCTCACTAAAGTAACAAAACTTTTTTCGTTATTTCTGTAAACTCACAAAACTATTTTTTATCTTATTAAAATAATTGAATTATGTGTTAATTACTTGAAAAGTAAAACTCATTAGAAAATCAAATTTTCGGCACTAAAACAACTCACCGAAAACTTCAAATCTAGAACTGATCTTTTTTTAGAGCTAAGTAAGCCTATCAAACTAGTTATACTTGGTACGCGGACTATATTATCCCGAGATTATAGTCCTAGAAATTATAATTTCTAGACTAAGGGGTCGTTTGGTACACGGGATAAGGTGGAATAAGGTAGTATAAAGTGTCGTACTAAATTTATATCATATTTGGTTGACGGTATAAATTTATCTTGGGATAATGTTATTCTGTCAATCAAACATGGTATAAGCTTAGTCCCATACTTAATCTTGGATAATCTTATCCCACTTTATCCCATCAAACTTGTATTATTTTATCCCACCTCCCAGAGTCGGATAAATTAGCCTAGGGATTAAAATACAAGGACTATAATCCCGGGATAATTTAGTCCGCGTACCAAATAACCCTAAAAGATAAAATAATACCAAGTTTGATGGGATAAGGTGGAATAAGAAGGGATATCCAGGATTAAGTTTGGAACAAAGTTTATACAATGTTTGGTTGACGGTATAAATTTATTCCGTCAACCAAACATAATATAGATTTAGTACCACATTTTATCCCACGTTATCCCGCGTACCAAACAACCGCTTAGACTAGCAAACTTGGAAGTTCAACTTGGACAAACACCCTCATGAATAGTACCGGAACCGTATACTTGATGGTTTAATAAAAAATTACAATTATTGCAGCAAGTTAATTATTTATCTTTTTAGATTATCAATTTTAGTGTATATATTAGAACTGATATTTAAGTAATTAAGCTTAAATTCTGCACTGGTAGATCGACTTTTTCTTTTGGAATTCAGAGAAAACAGTATGTAAATTATTTTTCCAAGAATAAAATCTGTTAGGGATTTTCATTGACAAATAGTGAAATGGTTTGGATTAGTTTACATACATCGCAAATCTAATAGCATTCCAGGTAGTAAGAAATAAATGCAATTCTGGGTTTGGATGTTAACCTTAGTATCAAGTTGGTAAACCTATTAAAATGAATAACTGGAAAATGACTCGCCAGAAATTCGTTAAGATTTAAAATTTAATTGACTTTCTGATGACTTGTATTTTTCGAGCAACTAGCACATAGTTTTGAGACTTAAATAAAACCAAAATAAATTTGTAATTTAATTTACTGGTACAATTTATACAAATAGTAAATTTAATAACTTTAGTCATGAGACAGAATATTTTGTGACTTTATTGATACTCCAAAAAATACATTTAGTGACCAATGTATGAAATTAATCCTCCAAGTGCCCATCCATTTATGTTCGTATCGCGTTTGTGAACGCAAACACATGATTCCTAGAAATCATGATAGTAGCTCTCATAAGTTAATGAACAAAGAAATCTTTGGTAAAAAATAAGAAAAAACTCCTTTGTCAAATATATGTCTTTATCTGATTTTATTTAGAAGCTTTTCACGGCTAATTAATTCTATATAAAGGGTACAAGTTCTGAATATTTTCTAACAGAATTGCCTTTTTATCACTATCTGTTGCTATTCCGACGAAAAAAAATATGGGTTTGAAAGGCAAGCTGGTTGTTTCAATGGAGGTGGAATGTGAAGGACACTTATTTCATGAACTTTATCAAACCAAACCTCATCATGTATCCAACATAAGCCCCAATAAGGTCACAGGTTTTGATCTTCATGAAGGTGGGTTGGGAGAGGTTGGTTCCGTAGTTATCTGGAAATATAAGGAGGGTAAGTACAAAAACCTTTTCCCTCTATATGATTCAATTTGATGAATTTTTAGCATAAATGAAATTCTGTTCTTTTTCTGGTAATATCTGCATGTTGCAATATTGTCTCACATTTGATGCTTGAAAAATACTTCTATAAATAATGTAATTTAAGTCTATGTTACTCGAATTCTTCTATAGTGTCATGGGTTTTGTGTTGGATCTACCAAAAGTTATTATTTTTGGAGAATCTGACACGGATAGATCCAGCTACATAAATTCCATTTATACTGAATTTCTCATAACTATTAGAGAAAAACAAAATATAAAAAGTGAAAAGAGACATAATAAATGAAATAACGATTATAAAGACTCACACCCAGGTAACTCGGTTATACGGATGAAAGTCTCTCACATAGTAGCAATAAGTAAGTAGAGGAATCTTGTTGTTTACCTTCCCCTTTCCCCTGTGTAATAAAAAAAGAACTTAAAAATCAATTACTAATTTTTTTGTTGTTGTAAAAGTCCATATCATTTGCGTGTAAATGGACGTTGAGCTAGGGTTTAACGTCTCTTTATATTTTTGGATCTCTTTTTATAATGATTATAGATGGAAATGAGAAAATTGCTAAGTGTGTCATTGAAGAAGCCATTGACGATGGAAAGAAATCAATCACATGGAAAGGGATAGAAGGAGATCTCTTGGAAGAGTATAATGCTTTCACTCTTAACTTTTCTTGCGATCAACACTGGATTACATGGACATTTGTGTATGAGAAGAAAACTGAAGATATCCCTGAGCCTCTAACTTTCTTGGGATATATCGCTGATCTGACCAAAGATATAGAGGCTCACCATCTCGAGAATTAGAATTATCCGTGCTATTTGATATAGCTGATCATAATATATGTGGATTTGTGTCATGAGCATTGGACAATATTGGCTAGTACTTGAATGTCAAAATAAATAATAATGTTGTGATGAAAAATAATAATGTCCAAATGTCAATCTATATATAAGATGTTAATTAATACTATACGTTTTGTTCAGTGTGATGTGTATGATAATGTTCTGTTGAACAATATTGGCCAGTCCTAGAATGTGGACTAAATAATAAAGTTGTGTTGAAAAAATTATCGTTCTACTTGTTTTCGATGGATGTATTTCCAAATTATGGCATTCTGCAGACTAATTGTTTGTGCAGTGTGCTATATAATTCTCATTCTTTTTTCAGCCACCTTTTTCTTTTTTCCTTTTTTTTTTGGTTACTCTCTAGATCTAAGATGGTGTATGGGGTAAAACTGAGTTTATACATATCGAAGTGATTGAAAGATGACATGTCATGACACGTAGGCAGTGTTATATATCTATATTGCTGAAAATAAATTAAATAATAATCTTTCTGAAAACAAAAACAGAAAGTTAATAGAAATTAAATTCCGAAAAACAGTAAACTTCTTCAAAATAAATTCTGAAAAACGTTGTAGGAACAAATCGATCCCACTGAATACACAGTGTGTCCTTAAGGAAATTATTCCCCTCAAGTACCCGAGGTTCTGGAATATATCCTCCCAGGATAGAACGATTTAACTCACCGGTGTATCGGTACCTAAAACTCTGGTGATCGGCGAACCACTCGATGGTCGTAAAACACACTGGAATATTTTGTGCAGAAGAAGAAGAAGATTCAGAAAATTTAGTAAGTAAATATTCTGGAATTTGAAGGTATATTTATAGCCAACTTGGTGCTGTTTCTGAAGAAGTTTGCAACCTTTCAGAACAGCCATAGCTTGTTGGAACAGGTGTGACACTGTTTCAGAACAGCCATGGCTGTTCAAAATATTGCGGGAAATATAAAACGGATTTAAAATAATCCTCGAAAGAAAAACGGGCCGGACCGGACCGGGTCGCGGGTCATAGGTTATTTCGGATTGAATTTTCTTTAATTAATTTAATTAATTAATTAATTATTTAAAAAGAATTTTGTCCAAAAAGATTAATCAATCAATCTTTGACAAATCCAAATCCAAATCCAATCCCAATCCCAATCCCAATCCCAATCCCAATCCGAAGCCGAAGCCGAACGAGCGACGACGACGACGGCGCGAGGCTTGCCTTCTTCTTAGCTCTTTATGAGCTAAAAGATGAGCTTCTCTTTATATACACAAAGATTTTCTTTCTTTCTACCAATGAGGGACAAAGTGCATAAGTGAAATGAGCTCATTCAAAATTTTACTTCCCTCCATTTCTTTTCCCACCATTTTCCATTCACACCTCTTTTGTTATTATTTATTAATAACAAACCCAACAATCCCCCACATGAATGGGGAATGGCTAAAACTCAAAGGAAGGCACGGACGTGTGTGAGTTTTACAAGCAAGAATTGATTGCATCTGGATAAGTAGGTTTCCCTTTGAACTTTCCGTAGTGAACTTATATCGGATATACTCGGTCAATCGGTAGATTTGATATCTTTGAACCGTCGAGCTTTATTGTATACCTAGACAACATAAGTTACACAATCAATCCTTAACCATCTATGGTTCTCAAGGTTGTGTTCGTTTCAGCCATGAACACCGCCTGGTTCATGAGTGCTTAGAGAATGGGCCTTTACTTTCATTCTCCTTGAAGCGGCTTACACTTCACACTTACATAGGTGATTCCTAAACATGTAATCCTAAAGACACACTATCTGGTCATATCCTGCCAGACTTAGCAAATCATTAAAAAGCATTAAGCTTTATTGACTCATCAAAAAGCCTTAATGCTTTACCTCGTTTTTTAACATTGTCTTCATCACGAGAGTGGGTTGAGTTAGTTGACAATGTTGAACCGTCATTCATAACTTTGTTTGATCTCTTTGAACCTAGCTCTTGGGATCTCCAGTCTGCTAGGTAGAGTTACCGCCATGCTGAATTGTCCTAGGCCTTTAACCCCATTCCCTTTGATGATCTTTCAACTGCCTCTCTAGATAGGTCTTTTGTAAGTGGATCCGACACGTTATCTCTTGACTTTACGTAATCAACTGTGATAACACCACTAGAGAGTAGTTGTCTAACGGTATTGTGTCTCCGGCGGATATGACGAGATTTTCCGTTATACATAACGCTCCCTGCCCTACCTATTGCCGCTTGACTATCACAATGTATACATATAGGTGCCAAAGGTTTGGGCCAAAATGGAATATCTTCCAAGAAATTCCGGAGCCATTCAACTTCCTCACCGGCCTTATCTAAAGCTATGAATTCAGATTCCATTGTAGAACGGGCGATGCACGTTTGTTTGGATGATTTCCAAGACACTGCTCCACCCCCAATTGTGAAAACATATCCACTCGTAGATTTAACTTCAGATGATCCGGTGATCCAATTTGCATCACTATATCCCTCGATCACGGAAGGATATTTGTTATAATGCAAAGCATAATTTTGGGTATGTTTCAGATATCCCAAAACTCGTTTCATTGCCATCCAATGTATTTGATTGGGATTACTTGTAAACCGACTCAGTTTGCTAATAGCACATGCTATATCTGGTCGCGTACAATTCATGATATACATCAAACTTCCCAATACTCTTGCATAGTCTAGTTGTGAGTCACTTTCACCTTCATTCTTTTGAAGTGCATAACTCACATCAATTGGAGTCTTGGCAATTTTAAAATCCAAATACTTGAACTTGTCAAGTACCTTTTCAATATAGTGAGACCGTGATAATGCTAGACCTTGTGGAGTCTTGCGAATTCTGATTCCTAAGATCACATCAGCAACTCCTAAGTCTTTCATGTAGAATTTGCTAGCCCACATACGCTTTATAGCATTTACATCTGCCATACTTTTGCTTATTATTAACATGTCATCAACATATAAACAAACAATGACTTCATGACCTAGAGTATTTTTAATGTAAACACATTTGTCACACTCGTTGATTTTAAATCCATTTGCCAACATTGTTTGGTCAAATTTTGCATGCCATTGTTTGGGTGCTTGTTTAAGTCCATAAAGCGACTTAACAAGTTTGCACACTTTCTTTTCTTTACCAGGAACCACAAAACCCTCAGGTTGTTCCATGTAAATTTCTTCCTCCAATTCTCTATTTAGGAAAGCTGTTTTAACATCCATTTGATGGATTTCAAGACCATACACGGCCGCTAGTGCCACTAACACCCTAATAGATGTTATCCTTGTTACTGGCGAGTAAGTGTCAAAGTAATCAAGGCCTTCCTTTTGTCTATAACCTTTGACAACAAGTCTTGCCTTATATTTGTCAATAGTGCCATCAGCTTTAATTTTCCGTTTAAAGATCCATTTCGAACCTAAAGGCTTATTTCCTGGAGGAAGATCAACCAATTCCCATGTATGATTATCCAAAATTGATTGAATCTCACTATTGACTGCCTCTTTCCAAAATGCTGAATCAGAAGACAACATAGCTGCTTTAAAAGTTTGAGGCTCATTTTCAAGCAAGAATGTCACAAAATCTGGTCCAAAGGACGTAGATGTTCTTTGACGTTTGCTACGCCTTGGATCTTCTACACTTGGAGTATTTTCCTTTGGTTCTTCCCGAGGTCGTTTAGGTTTTTCACTTAATGACTCACTTTCAGTTTTATATGGATAGATGCTTTCAAGGAATTCAGCGTTATCTGATTCCATTACCGTATTAACATGAATCTCGGGATTATCAGATTTATGAACCAAAAATCGACATGCTTTACTATTTGTAGCATATCCAATGAAAACGCAATCTACTATTTTTGGTCCAATTTTAACCCTTTTAGGTAAAGGAACCTGTACCTTTGCTAGACACCCCCACACTTTGAAATATTTCAAGTTGGGTTTTCTTCCTTTCCATTTTTCATATGGAATAGATTGCGTTTTGCTGTGGGGTACTCTGTTGAATATTCGGTTAGCTGTAAGGATAGCTTCCCCCCACAAACTCTGCGGTAATCCGGAACTTATTAATAAAGAATTCATCATTTCTTTTAATGTCCGATTTTTCCTTTCCGCAATTCCGTTGGATTGAGGTGTGTAAGGTGCAGTAGTTTGATGGATAATTCCATATTCCGAACATATTTCTGCAAACGGAGATTCATATTCTCCACCTCGATCACTTCTAATCATTTTGATCTTTTTATTCAATTGATTTTCTACCTCATTCTTGTATTGCTTAAATGCTTCAATTGCTTCATCCTTACTATTAAGCAAATAAACATAACAATATCTAGTGCAATCGTCAATAAAAGTAATAAAATACTTTTTCCCACCTCGAGATGGTGTCGACTTCATATCGCAAATGTCAGTATGAATTAAGTCTAAAGGATTTGAATTCCTTTCAACAGACTTATAAGGATGTTTTACAAACTTAGATTCAACACAT